CAGATCAGCAGCAGGATAGGAAGCTCATATAAGGCTGGCACACGCGGACGCTTCCATGGTATGGGTTGCTTTCCGGAAAATGCCGGTATGGCAAAGGCCGTGGTGGTGATGAACAAGGTGATAAAAATACTGGCCTCGGTGATCGGGATGGTGAGTAGCTGCAGCAGGAAGGGGATTACCGCAACAATACCCACGCCGGTTATCAGGGAAAGGCTGATGTACATAATGGTGCCGAGGCGGCATCTCAAAAGGCGTAGCAGACCATACCCGGTTATAAAATGTACCACAAGCAGGAGCATTATAGAAAGGAGCTGGGTCATTGCATTTCATATTTTTGATAGTAAGCGATTATCTGCGCCAATTGTGCCGGAGACTTGATACGTACCGTTCTTATTTCCTGGTTATTGATATGCACAAAAAAGTTGGCATTCCTTGCTATCGTGCTGTTGAAGTGGGTAGATGAGAGGCCGGTCAGGTAATAAAAAATAGCAGGCTCCGGGGGTATAAAGTCAATACGCTCCTTCTTAAAATAACTTTCCGGCGGGAAGAGGATTAATGCATTTGCTGCACCTGCCGCATCAACATGCCGCTTTATTTCCATGCAGTCCCTGTAGGCATATCCGTTATTGTAAAAGTTCATTCTTTCTTCAACAGACAAATCGTTTTTCTGCTCTTTAAATGCCTGCCAGTATTCTTCCAGCTTTAGCTGCCACTCATGATACCTGCTCAGTTGCGACAGGCCGGCAATGAAGGCTATTGAAACAAGGGTCAGCAGGATCTTTTTCATTGAAAAAAAAGACCCTCGCCCATCATGTTCAGGACTTGTTGTAATAATATGATTTGATACGGGCATCAGGCCGGTTTTGAAAGATGATGTTCAACACGCAAATTAATTGAAATGATTACGGTATCCCTTAATTTTTATCAGCGTACCGGCAGCAAGGTAATCCTGCTTATCTGCACCGTTTTTTCAGGGAAAGCCAGGATGGTTTTATGGCGTGGTGCCAGCACTTTTTATTACCTTACAGTATGGCAATTATAAATGGAGGATTGCACGAAATACCTCTGATACAGGCGATTGTGGCGGAAACCTGGCCTGCTACGTACTGTGAGATTTTATCGGCACCACAGATACAATACATGATCGATCTGTTTTACAGCACCGATGTCCTGCGTGAAAACTTACAGGCCGGACATTCGTTCCTGGTCTACCTGGATACAGCGGGTACTGCACTTGGTTTCGCCGGCTTTGAGCTCAACTATCATAACACAACGCAGGCAAAGTT